TTTGATTAATTTATTTACGATTATAAATACTTCTTTTGTTACAGGTTGTTCTTATTATTGGTATAACCGGAGCATGTCGAACAAATGAACTTACACTACTTAATGTCAATAACGTATCAAAATATTCTCATAATTCTGATGAATTGCTATTAATTAATGTACTAAATACCAAGACAAAAAAAGACCGCAACTTCGTTATTCGCAAGGAATATGTAAACATTGTTCAGAAATATCAAGCTTTACGTCCTTCTAACACCCCAATTGAACGATTTTTTCTACAATATCGCAACGGAAAGTGTATCCGACAACCTATGGGTCAGAATAAAATTGGCAGTATTCCACGAGAAATAGCAACTTTTCTCGGACTTTTAGAACCCCCGTTATACACCGGTCACTGTTTTAGAAGAACCTCAGCCACACTTTTGGCCGAATCAGGGGCTGATCTTCTATCGCTTAAGCGCCATGGAGGCTGGAAGTCTAATTCGGTTGTAGAGGGATACATAGAGGATTCAATCCAAAGTAAATCAAAAATTTGTAATAGTATCGTGGAGGCCATAACGCTGAAAGAACCTCTGTCAGATTCTTGGTCTCGCCCTTCTACATCTAAAATGAGCCCCCATAAGATTGGAAACAATAGCCCTCTCTCGCCAACATTTACGCCAATAGAATCCAATGAATCGGCACAACTATTTAAAATTACTGATACGAGTAGTTTACCACAAAACAGCGCACAATTCACAAACACCAACATAACATTACCTAACAAAAATATTAAACTTAACATAAGTAACTGTAGCAACGTTACATTTAATATTTGTTAATTATTTTCTACTTCTTATTATTTTCTTCAATTTATAGATTATCTTAATGTGTTTTAATTGAAATAAAAATATTTTGTCATTATAAATTGTTTTCTTTTTCATTTTGTCATTTCCTCGCTGAGGTGGGATGAAAAGTTACGTATTGCACTCGAGTGGAAAGATTTTTTATCTTGTGCTCGTTTGTTTCCCTCGCTGACGCTCAGGATTCTCGGTCATCCAAATCGAGCACGCGGTTAAAAAGGAACTTTCCACTCTTGTATAATAAATAACTATTGTTTACTGGAACCTCTGTAATAATTGCCGACCATTTATTTAATCATGGGTGCAGTAATAAAAATATTTGGAACATTCGAGTGAAGTTCTGTGCCCCAATACTCGAAATAGATTAGGCTTATTAAAAGAAATACTTAAGTAGCCAATGGTATGGGAATTGGTCCAAGACTCAATGCTGACAATGTTGTGGTGGTATTTATATAGAGGTACCAACTTCACCCAATTAATCAATCCTTTCTCTCTATTTCTTCGCATAGTAGGTTACCCATAATGACAAAATGTTGCCTTGAATCTTAAGAAATACTAGAGAAAAATCGACACGGCCTAAGGCTGCGCTAACAGAATGGTTAGTGCATCTGCCTGCAGAGCGGAGGAGTTTGCGGCTTCGAGTCCCGTCTGCTTCATGGTCCGCGTGGAACTTTTTCTAGTAATTTTTTTTTAAGATTTAAACATCTAGTTAAATGCTAAAAATAGCTATTTATCTATACATATAACAAAATGGTAGGAAAGTCAAAACCGTACATTGTTTTTTTTTTAAATAATACTTGGGGTATGATCTGTAATCGAAGTTAAAAATATAGTTTTTTGATTTTTTGTCTGTTTGTCTATATGTATGTATGTCCGGAATAAACTCAAAAAGTACTGCATGGATTTACTTCAAATATGGCACGAATATTATTAAGAAGTCGGGTATATGGGCTACAAATTATCACGAAACTCCACCCCCTAAGGGGGTAATACGGGGGTTGATAGTTTGTATGAAAGTCCTATGTTTTTGAAGTAAGAGACTCGAAATTTAACATGCATGCTCTATAGATGGTGTAGAGGTGTACTAATGTATCTTTAGAAATAAACCCCATTTTGGGCTCAAAAAGTATGTGCAAATAACTAACTCCACGCGTACGAAGTCACGGGCGGCCGCTAGTTATAGATAAAATAAAAATATACTGACATGAATCAAACATAATTTTCATAACACTTAATATTAAATTGATATATCCTTAAGTTTGAAAATCCTGTTATCTATGATTGTGCCACTTTAGAAGGCCACTAGGTGCTTACCTAGTGAAAACTAGGGATGAAACGATACGAGTTTAATACAAATAACTACTCGATACTTTTCTTTCGATACCGAGTACTTTTGGCATCGATACTTTAGAACTGAGTAAGAAGTAGTATCGTGAAGTACTTGTGTCGGTACTCGGTCGGTCACTCACTGAGAAGTATTAAAAAAACTTACAGGCAGATTATTTACTCTATGGTAAGTTGTCCAGTTGGAATTTTTGTTGCGTATGATTTATATTTATTCCAATTTATTCAGTCTGTCAGTCAGTATTCGTTCATTGAGCAGATCTTTTGTTTTCGTTAAATGAAAACTGTGATTGAATTTGTAATTTAAATATCGTTCGTCAAAATTTATCGACACAAGTAAGTATTGATACTTTTCATGCGATACCGAGTAGGCATCAATACTTTATGACCGATACAGTATCGAGTAAAAGTATCGATACCTAGATGGTATCGTTTTAACCCTAGTGAAAACATAACATTAATTGGGGTAGATAAATCAAAACTCAGTGAAATATATTATTATTTTAACCAACACTCGGGACAGGACAAACATCAAACTCACCGCTATTAATGAAAAACTGATTCATTTTTATTCTTATTTCTTGCGTACCTTTGATCTTCAGAAATATATTTTTTGGAAGTTTATTTAATAGGTCAGGTAGGATATTCGTCAACTCTTTTCCCATTTTCTTTAATACAACCTGATATTTTAAAATCCGGCATAAATTGTAAAGAACTTAAATTACCTGTTCTATTTTATAATTCTAATTAAGAGATTCTATCATTGTTTTAATGGCTAATTTAATGATGACTATTTTTTTTCTTCGTTTATCAGGTAGATTATCAAAAAGTATTGGACAGGTATTTTTTCTTTCTTCTCTTAATATAAACATTGCAGAGATATATTGATTTGAAAAGTCCCATGACGTCACGTTTTGGTGCAATTTTCACTTAAAAGTGACGTCACGGGCACAAACTTTGACGCGCTATAACTTTGTCATTTTTTGGTTGATTGCCCATACGTGTCCATTATTTTTTGATCATCTAACTGACGAACTAAATAAAATTTCGTTTACTGTACACCGTCATCACCCCTATTCTATCATCAACACATACATTCAAGTTTTTGCAATACCAGAAAAGTTCATCATGATTATTTCTGTATTTATGTTTGATGGAACGGAAATGGAACTATAGTTCTTAACAATCTTATTTCTAAATCATGTTATTATATACTCTAAGCGTAAATCTTGTTACCCTTATTAAGAAGCGTCGAATAAGACTGGATTAGTTATTCTATGTTTTTTCTCTGTGCATTGAATGACAAATGACACTTGAGTGTCATGAACAAAACACGGCGTAACTAGTCTACGCTAATTCCTCGTTTATTAATAGAGTTTATGTTCTACCATAGCTTATTTTTAATTCAGCCAAGGACATGTTTAACAATCTCAAAGTTTTATAGGGCAATTTGTATTTAAAGATATAAAAGGACATCGACGAAATCGGTCCCAACATGCACAAACGAATATCCTTCACTATTATTTTTCTATTATGTTTTTACTTTATTAGCAATTAATCATAGACAACGGACATTCTGTTGTAAAAAAATATAAATTAATAGTAATAGTAACAATCTAATTACATAATTACTCTATATACTAGAACAATAAAACTAAAAATAAAATTAATAACTAAAATATATTATTAAAAGGAGTCCCTTTAGGCAAGGTTTTTTAAAAATACTGGCAGCGTTCCCCCTTTGAATAGCTAGACTAATTAATTAATAGTAAAATTTTCTTTAGATTTAATCAGCTAGCAGTTAAATACTTTATAAATTTAAAAAGGCATAAAATATCTACTTATCTATACTAATATTATAAAGCTGCAGAGTTTGTTTGTTTGTTTGAACGCGCTAATCTCTGGAACTACTGGTCCGGTTTGAATGATTCTTTCAGTGTTGGGTAGTCCATTTATCGAGGAAGGCTATAGGCTATATTTTTTTTCAAAATTAGGGATCCGTAATAAAATTGCTCTTTTGTAACACAAGGTGTAAAATCGAAAACCTATTTTTGCGTGCGCTGCAAAAACTATCGACAATAGAACAAAATGATGTACTACGGGTTTGTAGATCCCATTAAGACCTACAAAAAAGTCCGCGAGAACATATATCTAGCTATCATGGTTTAATCACAATAACCGATTTTGTGTTCAAAATAATTACTAAATCTGTCTGAAGAAAAAAAACCCATATTTTTATGGCGATACGAAGTTCGCTGGGTCAGCTAGTATGTATTGTAAAGTGCTTAAAACTGCCGGGTCAGATTTTAATGCTTTATTGTATTGAGTGTCGTTGTAACACTACACAAATTAAATACCTAATTACAACGGTAACGACACAGTATAGATATAATATTACCGTGGTATTGTTTTGGTTCTTGGACCAGTTTCCTTCAGGAAAACTAAATGTTGTCATATTGGGACGTCACGCAAGATGTGCAAGTAGGATAGTCACTTTATATCAATGTATATGTATATGATTATACAGGTATCATCAGAAACGAAACTTTTTATAAACCGCCTGAAACTATAACCAATACATAGAAATATAAAGGAAAAGTATTTTTAAATTTCGAAAACACTTTTCGAAAAAGTTTGCAACCTTTTGAACTTCTCTATTATGAAACGACCTATTTCGATCGATTTTATTTGGGTTTGGGTCACAATGGTAGGTAGCTACTAGCTATTCATTTCGGTTCGTGTCTATTTTGATGTGGGCGCTTGCGTGGTGACGTCACCCAGACGAATTGGCGACCAAGCGGGCGCGTCTATTTACCAAGCACAAGGCACCACAACACAGCGTGCTCGTACCACGGCCAGTCCTATTGGTGCTACGGTGGGTTTCCGACGTCTCCGAAACCCAAAAACCTAGCGAATTCTGTGCACACTTGTGACGGCGCCACAGATAAAAAAGTGAGTAAATTTTTTTTTCGTTGACACCGAAAAGTTTTTATTACATTTTTTTGAATTTGTTCCAAAAAAGAATATTCTTACACATAGCGTTTCAATGAGTCGACTCGAATTTTAATAGCCGCGTGTATTTTCGCTATCCGCCGGGTGATGTCGTGAGAGTAAAACATTGAAACCGAAAGCACGAAAGCGATGCGCATGCTTCTTTTCTCGCGCACCGCCAATAGGATTTTCTTTTTGTTTCATACAAAAAATAGTTTGGATTTCTTTTTCAAAATTTACGATTTGAATTGTTAATGCAAAGACAATTAAATAGCTTTTTTAATATTATTAAGTTTTTATAAATAAATCAACGTTTAGTTTCTCGTTGGATTTATTAAATCTAGTAATTTATCTAAAACTATTTACATTATTCAAATTTAGTTTCATGCGGGTTTTTAAATCGACACGACACCTTGTTTGTAAATATAGGTAGGTAATTAGGTTAACTGGGGTAAGTAGTTAGTTTGTATATTTTAAAAGTGCGTATTTTAATCCGAGTCTGTGCAATGCAACACATCAATCTTAATCAATCTACTGGTAGTCAATAAACTGTTTGTACTAATTCAAATTTTGATGTTTGAAATCATACAGAAATGCAGCTTTGAAGTTTGAAATTAAACAGATATTTCAGTACAGTAGGTTGTCTTAAATTGAAATATAGGTAGATTGGAAAATTATTTTTGTAATAATTAGGGATTTTCTTTTATAATAATAATAATAACCATTTATTTCAGGCATACTACCCATATTACATACAGAAATAGAAAAATAAATAAAAAATGATAATCAAATTAAATAATTACAATCACAATAATAATAATACAAATATAAATTTCAAATAATTTATTATATTATAAGTAGAAGTTACCTATCTAGTGTAAGATTGTGGAGTGTAGGAACGCCCGCCATTCTGACGCCGGCCATTTTATAACGCAGCCTACTCGATTCGATCATCAGCCACGACCTTCAAAACACGCGCTGTTTATGTTTTATTTTCAATTTTTATTTACACCTACTTTGATTACAATAATAATAGCAAATAGCGGATATAATGCCATAATTGTATATTCTTCATCAATTCCGGAGCTTCTTTATAATTTCGGTGTTCAATCTAAGATGCGTCGTGCAGTCTTGTTTACCGTACTCAATTGGATGTCCTTTCGTCTGCGAACAGTCTACATTTTCACAGAGTGCTTGTTTCTATTAATCTTCAAACCTGTTGAGATTTTGAACCTCAAACCTGTTATATCCACTCGTAATTGCGTAACCTGTCCAAACTGCCCGTCGAACCCGTCGAATGAATACAAAGAATTACTTGCATACACACACACACACACACACACACTTACGCACATTCAAAATTATTACACCAAACACTCTAACCGCTTTTGCAAAAAGAAACAAAACCATTTTTACTTATTTATTTTGGTTTATAATAAAGTCATTGTTTAATGTGACATAAAGACACTTTTTCCAAATAATACTCTGGCTCCTAAATCTTAGCATCATTGAAACAGAAACAGTAGTGGTAAACAAAAATAGATAAATAATATTAGCACAATAACACAAATACAACGACCTACACACACTCACATACACGCGTATATACACGTTCACACACTCACTCTCTCTCTCTCTCTCACACACACACACACACACATACATGTACACATATGCACAAATGCACATTGACAAAAACTACATTCAGCCCATACAACAATGTCATATTGACATTGACATTGTTCCTTGAGCTAAATCTAGTTTTAGTCGCCTAAGTTTTGCCAACCGTCCTGTTTATTATCGGGGTGTCCTGGGACGTCCTGGATTAGTTTCTAAGCAGAGTTATTGGATTTTCAAAGCGTGGATTTACTAATCCTAGGCAGATGTGTGATAACGAAGATAACGAAGCTGAATGTGGATCAAATACAAGTAATCTTTAGAAGCAAAAACTTAATCACACTTAAAGTAAGGGCTTGTAACAGTCTTTTTAAGACGTAGTATTAGAGTGCGATTAAAGATTGGGAATAAATATCTAGGTTATTTTTTTTCGATAGATTTTAGATGAATAAAAAATTTGATCTATTGGAAAAACTCTTTAAGGTATGTTCACCTTTTGTCTCAGAGGAAATTGATTAAAATACTTATAGGCTGCTTTAATGAGTTTCAGTTCAGGCTGATGATTTGCTGAATGAATGAATGATGATAATAAAATAAAAATAAAAATTAAAAACTAAATAACGAAATGAGTGTATCAATCACAACGTAATCAAGTTTGTTGTTATAATGGTATAACACAACCACGTAGACACGATATCGTCTGAGCGACCGTAACACTAACGTGGGTTCGTAAGCGCGTATAAATACACATTTTACGACCCATTACAGAGATATTTCTCAATTTACCATTTGATGAGTTGACGGTCGTATCTTTATCCTTGTCTAATCGGTGTAGATAGACAGTGAGTGATGACGCATTTGTGACAGAAGTTGGTTCAGGGTGGCGAAATTAAAATGCGGCTATATTCAAGTAACATGTTCAGTCATATTATTACAGTATTACAAATGAGGACCTTGCCAACAAAACGGTATAATTACACATCCGGTCAAACTAGGTACTTTTTTACAGTCCGGAGTTTTCGGGTCAGTTGAATTTGAATCTAAAACAGTTTTCAATCAAAACCGCCTAAAACAGTGTTGAAATAACTAAATTTATAAATTAAAAACCACACCAAAAGCTCACTGGAGGTATGTCATTCAGTTTTATACAGCTCAAATAAAATTTAATTTTATGTTATTATACCGTTTTGTTCGCCAGATCCTCTAAAAGGAATGAACAGAACTACATCCCCGGTCCCTAACATAACCTCGAAACAGAGAATTAAACAAAAGTTAAGACTACGCAGAAGTAATTAGATAATGTAAATTATAACAAAACCAACGCATGGCGGTCAATTCTTATCACACATAATAATGACCATAATAATAATGACGACACGACGACCTCCGTGGCCGAGTGGTTTGTACGCCGGGTTTCATGATGTCGCCGACTCGAGAGGTCCCGGCTTCGCATCCCGGTGGGGGCAGATGTTTGTGTGATGAACACGAGCATTTGTACTCCTGTCTATTGTACTCCTGTATGGATGTTTAATATGATTTATATATAACTATACTTATATATATGTATTCTATCCGTTACCCTAGTACCTCATAACAAAAACCTTATAGTGCTTACTTTGGGGCTAGGCTAATTGGTGTGTGTTTTTTTTTTTTATTTTAATGGCTCTATAACACATTAAACTAATATAACAATAAATCCTCCAGACATAAAAAGTAGGGAGGTAGGTTGTAGTGGGGGCCCTTACTGCCGGCTTTTTCGAAAATTTTTTTGACATTAACAGTGAACTAAGGATAAAATTGCATGTCCAACAAATATAGTTTATAAGGAAACTGATAAATCCGTGTTCTTGTCTTTAAAGGATGGATAAAGAAATACAAGGTACCTTTGAATTAACATAACCATACCATGGAATGCATTCCCACTCGTCTCCCATTAAAGTGTTTATAAAACAAGATCATATTTGAGATGACATAGCACGTCCTCTGGCAGTTCTAAGAACTTCTAGACAAGAGAAACAATAACATATTACCTTACCTACGGCAAGGCATCAAATATCCCTAACAATAATATACATTCACATCTAAACACATAAGATTGAGAATCAAATGAAAGAAGAAAGAAAGAAAGAAAATACATTTATTTTGACACAAACAACGAGACAGTAGATACAAAATTTTGAGCAACAAAAAAATACAAGAAAAAAAATGTGTGCGTGTACTAGTGTACACACGTAAGAAGTGAAACTTCTTTATGGCCTTATTTTTCGAAAAATGATCTACATGCAACTTTCCAGAAATTGGTTAAATAAAGTTAAATTAGATAAAGTTTAAACAAAAGGATTTTATTATTAACGATAAGCGAGTAGAAACTAGAAACGAATTGGCAGTCCTGAGTTAAAATGCACGCGCACGGCTTTTGACAGCCAAGCCAGCTTAACCGAGCGAGTATAGCTGAGCGAGTATCGCTGGGCGAGTATCGCTGAGCGAGTATCGCTGAGCAAGTATCTCTGAGCGAGTACCGCTGAGCGAGTATCGCTGAGCGAGTATCGCTGAGCGAGTATCGCTAGCGAGTTTGGCTGAGCGATTCTTATCTTTAATAACTATTGTCACTCAGCTACAAACGAGTAGAGAGAGTTCTCGCCGGCGACAGTGTGATCATTCAGCTATCAACTATTAATATAAAAAAAGATGGCGCGTAACGGAAAAATGTGACACGTAACCGAAAAATGTGACGGTAAATTTTTTTCCAACGCCGATAAAGAAGTTTCACTTCAAAAAAGAAAAATTATCGTTAACAATAGGATAACCACAAAAAAGTAACACACACAATTATTCATAACTGTCGTTACCACGGTGATTTATTCTGTTGCTATCTCGCGGCTGCGCCAAAACAGGTTGTCAATTCAGCATGTTGTCAGGTTTGTGGGACCTGACGCTGATTTTCAATTGACACCTATGGTTCTTTTGACAACTGAGTATCGGAAAAAAAGAAATATAAAAAAAAAAGGGTTTTTAAATTTCGTATAACTTTGTGTGGTATTTTCAGTAGTGTTACACTATAGGAACCAACTTAAAACTTTTCACGGCGGGATAAGCATTGTTATTTGAAAATATACGAATTTCGTATCATAATATCATCTTTTGGAAACTGAACCGGAAAGGAGGAAATTTTATGTTATGTTGAAATAACAATAATGTTTCAGACAATATCAATTGACTATACTATTGTCTTCTTGCCAAAATATCAACAGGTATTGCAATGCAACATGTCTTATGAATAAATTTTAATAAAAAATATATTTTATCAGTGGCACTTATTTGAAAGTCAAATTGTTGTTGTGTGG